ACAGGCTTACAAACGCAATGCGTTCAGTTAAACCTGCTTCCACTCGACCTCAATCAACTGATGTTTTCGTTCAACCTGACTTACGATATAGTACACACGTTTTCGTTCGTCGAGACTCGCATCGACGACCATTCGAATCAGCGTACGAAGGACCTTTCAAAGTTCTTCAACGTGAATCTAAGTACTATATAGTCGATAAGAACGGAACAAACGATAGCATCAGCATCGATCGCTTAAAAGCAGCGTATTTAGAAGGAAATCCTATTCACGTCGATTTTCCTTCGGTACAATCGAACGACACGACTCCACTCATAATTCCTCAACCGACAACCAACACTGGCGATGATACTCCGAATGTATCTGAAAACAAACTTAAAACGACGCGTTCTGGAAGAAGAGTTAGATTTCCAGAACATTTAAACGACTACTGCACGTAAGACACTACTCGACATTTTATATTATCTCGATTTTTCTTTTGACAATATATAATATTAAAAAAAAATTTTAATATGCCTATATGTTTATATTTTTATTTTAAAAAAAATTATTTTTTAACGCTGTTACGTGTGCTTGAGTTTATTTTCCATTTTCTCGCCGACATTGTGTTTTTACGCACATACGAGTGTATTTCGACATGCACTTACATTTCTTTTTTCTTTTCCAGGACGGCTGGAAAAGAACGATGCAGCTTACGAGGAGTCGAAATTTTCGTTGTACATTTTCTTTTTTTACTATGTTGTACCTCGGTCCTATATAGTAAGGAAAGACGACCAGACGCTGCTACACTTAGTAAGCTATCAGAAGAGTGTTTACCAACGACAAACTCGTTGGGTTTAAACTTCTGGCTGGCCACGTCTTAGGGTCGTCACTGCTCCACTAGGGGGGAGTGATCTGTAGCGGTAAATAAATCCCCAAAATAAATAGCCCTGTAGGTTTTCGACATTGGATGCTGACCATATGTTTTAGTGGACTCATCTAACTGAAGGCGCTCGGTCAGGCATCCGCACCAGATCACGTGTGGTAACGCCGTGCTCAACATCAACCGCAATCGCTAGCCAGATTAGATCAGAGAATTCCGATATATCGGTCATCGCCAAATATACTCTTCCGATCTCCTCGACTCTGTCTTTTGATTTCTCCTGGTGGGAACGAAATATATTAGGTGTTACTGGTAGAAGCGTTGTCAAACACTGAATACCTGTGACATCGTCAACCTCGTAATTATTATCAGTGGCCTTATTCAATATTATATTTATGAGGCAATATAGAATTCTTGGCGTAATGTTTTTCAAAAATTTTCCTTTACAGAATAGGTAAAAATTAAAGAAAATGACAACTGCATGCATATATACGTAAGTTAAGTAGATGAACTATCTGGAATTAAATCAAATGCCTTTTCAAGATGATTTGGACCTTTACTGAAGACATTTTCTGCTAAGGCGATCGCACATCAGTCGAATTTTACTACAAAGGCCAGAATCTTCCAGAACGATAACCGCTTGCTCACTTTCCATATATTCGATTTCCCTCGTGACCTTTAGCCTCTAATTGGTTGCCATGTTTTTTAGTGCGTTAAATTGATACATGCTTGAAGATCATATTACGTTACCATAACTTTTATACCAAGTTTTTTTAAGTTGCTTGTTCTACCAAAATACCAAGTTACCTGCAATTCCATCTTCTTCCTGTGTTAGCCATAGAGGTTTGATGTGTTGGGTATAGTTGATCCCATCAGTTCCGAATAGAACCACTCGTATTAAAGTAGTTCGATCGTTGTCTTTCCAGAATCGTAACATCTTAGACTACAGTGAACCTTAAGAGCAAAACGCAACATATTTTAACCTCATATCCATAGAAAATTGGAACACAACTATTCTTAGAGCCTGTGGATCATAAGATCAAATGACTGACGTACAAAAGATTTGTTTAAGTCACATTTATCTGGTTATCGCTCTTAATGTGTCTCTCACCTGTTAGCTCTTTAGAGAGTTTCCACATACTAGTAACGTTTTTGCGAGATAGAAGTTCCTGAGTAAACACTGAGTTCAGACGCCTAATATCTAGGTTTGCCAGACTACTTAGCTTGCGAACCTCAATGGAGTTTTTCTCCTTGTATGCTCACTTTCTACCCTTCATATTCGCTTCAGTTAGAAAGACATAAGTTGATCTAAACTTACAAAAATGGTTCCAATCAGGTAAAAAATATCAAAACAGAATTTAAGTTAACAAGTGATAATGTTAACAGCGTTTTCCGATATGTTATCTGTAAATAATCCCCAATTGGTCGTACGAAGTGTTTTTCAGATTTTGGATATTTTCTTTTCAGCAGTAATTATAAAACAAAGCAAGCAGTTAATCACTGCATTAATACTTGACTAAACGCAAAACGTATAACTATCATTTAAGATGGGAGCTTGAAACTTAAGGGTTATTCGACATTTCCTCTTGGACTTTGCGGAAAAGAGTGCTTTGCACCAAGTTTGTGTTACGACAATTATAACGTTATTCTTATTCGTATAACGTTTTTTTCATCAAAGTTTAAAACAAAAGCAGTGAGCTTCAGTAAAACAAGATGTTTCCGGAATCAATCGAGCCAAAGTGAAGACTACTGGATGGAAAGATCAGTTAATGATATTCGCAAGCAACCTATAGGATACTCAGCTAACACAGGAATTGGAATACAGAGTAGCCGCTGCGCGCTAGGTAGTCAAACATCGTTGGAACAAAATGGTAGGTGTCTTTGAATGAACCTGACGTTATCACCGTGTCAAAAGTGGAAAATTAACTTTCAATTGTGGAACTGAGTCAGCGTGTATGGTGAAAAACTGACGTCACGGTTGTGCTGGGTGTATTTTAGAATATCTTTCATGAGTGATTCCAGAATTTTCCTTAAACTCAGGGTTTCAAATAAGAATAACAGTTGAAAACGTAAGGTTGTTTACAATCCAACATAACACTACCCTTTAGTTACTTAACTGGGGAACAGGGATGAAAACATACTCAATCGTTATCTGTATAGATATTCTTTAAAATAATTTCACTGATATCTTAATTGATGTTCATACTGACGAACACTAATGAATCGTACTTTAAACCACGTGGTGTACGCACTGTAGAAAGCATGGTCATAACTCTTGTTCGGTAAACTGTTTAACAAAATTAACTCATAACTAAGCTCTTGCGTTTAATTACTCTTTTTCTAAACTAGCCTAGCGATTATTCATGATAAATGCCTAAATCTACTAATATACCGAAATTATTGAGGGATCATGTCCACACTGTTTTATCTAAGTTGCCCTCATACACCGATATTTTTGACTAAATGGATTCTCAGTTGGATAATACAGGAGTTTTACCACTCTGTAATTCAGGATATAAAAAACATTTATTTCGACTGAACTTTGTGGATTTGTCGGAATGAAAATTGTGGTTTCCCTTAGGAAAATATATACGTTCACTGACAGTTAAATGAGGTAATATCACCAATATTAGCAATACCTTTGGAAGACAGAACGGGGCGCCTCAAACTATTTCCGTCATCGCAACTCATGTTACCGTTTGATCTATTACTGTCTTATCGTGTATTAAACAATGGTCTTGGTAATACTATGTTCTATCCTTTGTTTCATCTAGGACTTATTATCTGAGAAGGCATTCAAAGTAACTTCAAAACCTAAACAAAATCACCTGGGTTCATTTCTCGCTCGGATATCTTATAAAGAGTGCAGAGGGCAGCTACCCATACAGTTCCAGGACTCTTGGGTTTGCTGTAGAAAAAGCAGCCTAAAAACCCAGACCTCTTTATTCGGCCCTATCGCAGGTGGAGGTGGTCTGATTTTGATGTATAGAACACTAAGAAATGATTTCGGACCCAATATATCCCCACTTCTTCTTCCAATTAGATCGGGACATCTCGGAGGACATAGCGGATGGGTAGGAAAACCAAGAACAGACAAAATACCCGTGGCATACAGGTTTTCAGACCGAGTCGTCAATTCTTGGAACCTGTTACCCAAAGCAGAGGTTCAAATGGTTCAAATGGTTGTGGACGGAATAGAAGAAGCTTTCGCTTAACAGGCTTCCGTGTCTAGTAGCAGGGGATCACCAAATCCTCCAGGCAGGAGCCTAGGTATGTTAACAATAAAAGAGGAAAAGAAATTGGTAAATCATAGTGTGATGCTGTCCTTGGTCCTTAAGAATAGGTCAAGTTGCCTCTTGAAGGACTCCTGAGAAGTCGCTCGGACTAGCTCGGCTGGTAGCGAATTCCAGATTTTGACAACTCTTAAGGAGTAGAAGTTATGTCTACATTCCGTCTTGCTATGTTGTGTTGCCAGTTTCTGGGTGTTACCCCTTAGGTTATTATTCGAACTAAGCTTAAGTAGGTGTTTAAGAGGATCTCCAGAAGTGTTGAGAATACTATAAGCCATTAATAAATCACCTCTAAGACGCCTATACTCTAATGGGTAAAGGTCTAGTGAAGGGAGGCGTTCTTCGTAAGGTTTAGGTTTGAGTCCTCGAACTGATTTCGTGGCTCGCCGTTGGATACGCTTCAAAGTGACCTTGTCCTTTTGGAGTGAGGGGGGAGTACTATGTTTCCGTACTCTAAATGGGGACGGATGAAACTATTGAAGATTGTATGGAAAGTTCGTCCGTCAAACTGTCCAAAAATGCGCTTCAACGGTGTCCACTTACAATTGACTCATTTAAAAGAAGACTAGACACCCACATAAACACTCTAGAAAAGGGATAACATAGGCGGTAGGCCATCTGTCCTTACTGAACAAATGTGAAATTTGAATCTGAATATGAGTAGTTAGTAACTGGGAATTTTTTGCCTGACATGTGGTGTTGGCTCTTTTTGTTGATAAACTCAAGGCAAGACTGGATCTCCACAGAAATATAAACTTTCGAGATTAAAGTAAGTCGCTTAACTTCCTATCCTTACTACTAAGGACTGAAAACTAAAGACTGAGGTGGCTTTTACGAATCGTTTTCGCCACATGAGTTTTGTGCTCTTTTGGCGGGTTCATCAAAAGTGTTTTGCGAACAATCCGTGTAAATTAGCACTTTGTCTTCCCAAAATCACATTACGTTTAATAACTGGCGGTGTTCACTCTGCGCAAATAAGAAATATGAATGGAGTTACAGATATAGACTCATTACGTGCTAAGGTTCGCGATCAGGTAGCTTTCATGTTATTATTTACATTTTTTTTCAGGGTGATATAGTACGACGTCTGAAGGAAGAAAAAGCATCTGACAGCGCCCTAAAGGAAGCTATCTCTGCCTTAAAAGCTTACAAAAAAGCTTTGGATGATAAGGTTAGCTAATTACTAGGTTACTATAACTTTTAGGAAATTGAGCTGTCTCCTAAGGATCCTTCTTTTGATCGTGGTAAACTAGAGGATCTTTTGAAACAAAAGTTTTTCTATGATCAATCTTTCTCTATTTACGGAGGTGTGTAAACATTTCATACTAATTGTGTTAAAATTTGGGTATAGTTAGCTTTGCTCCATATCCGTTCTGTGTTTTCATCCCGTTTTAGGTATTCAGGGTCTCTATGATTATGGCCCGATGGGTTGTGCTATGAAAGCCAATTTACTTTCTGCTTGGCGTCAATTCTTTATTTTGGAAGACCATTTATTAGAAGTCGACTATTCTATGCTTACACCTGAACCTGTTTTACAAGCATCTGGACATGTCGATCGATTCACAGATCTAATGGTCAAAGATGTGAAAACTGGAGATTGTTTCCGTGCTGATCACTTAGTAAAGTCGGCACTCGAAGCCAAGAAATGCAATAAGAAAACCCCTGAAAATGAAAAACAGGAAATCGATAAGATAATCTTGCAGGTAATTAGTGCTGCATTGTGTTAGAGTTAAATATTTTAATACTTATTACTAGTTTGACCTCAAATTTTTCGGATAATTTTTTCCCGTTGCTTCTTGGTTGATTGCATTGTCAGGACAATTCCTTGGTCGTTCTGTTATTAATAGATTCTACAGCCAAAGTCGAATTTTTTTGCAAACGCAATTTGCATCCTTGATATCTATAGTTGGAGTTAAGTCCATCAGTTTTGCAATAAAAAAACACGTACTTTTCGTTGTCATATTGGTCGTTACACACGAATAGTATATGACAAATCAACTGAATAGAAGGCGATAAATCGATCATAAGATATCGTACATTTTAAGCGACCTACATAATATTTATTCTAGTTATCATCCATCTAGTCTTATCATTCATGTTAGTCAATTGTTCTGGTGTTTTAAAATGTTGCTTGTCATGTATAACATCCATTCGAATTAAAATATAAGGTTTTATGAATGTGGTCGTTATGATGCCTCCTAAACCTAGATTGTAACTATACCAGTTTAAGATTAGGACCAGTTTTGTCACATTAAAAATATCTAAATATAATAACGCAATAAAATATTCACATTTATAGACCACAGTAGTGATGATTGTCACGTTCTTTTAGTCCTTCAGTGCTAAATTAATCCTACCGATCAAATGCACGTGTTAAGGCACTTGAACTAGTGACCACATCGCATCTTGGTCTGTAAAATTCGATCACCGCTGAAGGATTAGACGAACATCACATTGCTGACGATTGCAAACATTTCAATCCTACGAGAAGTCAGTCACGGCCCGAACAGCGCAATGGTAACGTTACAGTAAAGCGAGGTAAGGACAGTTCAAATCCCACGAGGAGCATAAACCTCTATATTGTATGTCTTGGTGATCAATACCATCTGGTATGAAAATTAGGTTCCTAGTTTCCTACAGACCACCTCTAATCAATCAGTCAGCCAATAGCAATAAAATACGTCCAACGGATATTTTGGGATTTTAAAAGTTTACGTCAATCAGCAATTCATTAATAAGTTTGGATCAGTTTTGTAATGCGTACGATAGGACAAAAGACTCAGTGATTATCTTTGTAAAATTATATATCAGTCTAGTGATTATGAGGTCCTTACTAATTATTGCAGTTGGGTCAAATTATTTTTATCTTTTCATAGTGACCGTACTTTGCACAGCTAGTAAATTTCCTAAATATCTTTCTTACCTTACAAGTCTTACTAGAAATCAGATTGCAACAAAATTATTTTAAAACACAAATGAAGCAGTCATTTTTCTGGCAGAAGCATCTTGCCTATTAGTCGTGCCGAATCTGTGTACTGCTAGGGTTAATTTATACGCATATTAGTATATAAAAATTCGGTCTTTCTGAAAAATCATATTTTCACTTTGATATATCTCCAATCCATTTGAGTGCACATTTTTCACAATAATTAGTTGTCAGTCTATCGGTCATGAGCAACGTAGGGTGTTGCACATAGCTACATCTGTTTAGGTTGCCACACTATTAGCACACCTAGAAATTATCATATATCAGAATAGTGGAAGCAATAACAACATCATTAGTAGTAAGACAGATTAAAATATTTTTTCGGGGTTGCATACTTTTATCATGTGGATACTTTAAAAATGCTGATCTTTATTTCTGTAAATCGTCTTCCTGCATTTCAGCTGGACAACTATGGGGCAGACGAGCTACACCAAATTATACGTCGTTTTGATATCAAATCACCGACAACAATGAACGACTTAACTGAACCAACTTACCGCAATGATGCAATGCAGTGAAACTGTCTCATGTCTACTTGACATGCTAAAACAAAGCCCAAACGTTGGTGGTGGAATGGGGACCAAGCTTAATTATCATGTAGTAAAATATTCTAATTTAGTGTAATTACGTCGAAAAAGACCTAAACAATGTCCTTAATACCAAATATTTATCCCCAGAACTGTGCAAAATGGATTTACTGTTTACCTTGTAGCGGTAAATAAATCCCCAAAATAAATAGCCCTGTAGGTTTTCGACATTGGATGCTGACCATATGTTTTAGTGGACTCATCTAGCTGAAGGCGCTCGGTCAGGCATCCGCACCAGATCACGTGTGGTAACGCCGTGCTCAACATCAACCGCAATCGCTAGCCAGATTAGATCAGAGAATTCCGATATATTGGTCATCGCCAAATATACTCTTCCGATCTCCTCGACTCTGTCTTTTGATTTCTCTTGGTGGGAACGAAATATATTAGAAGGTGTTACTGGTAGAAGCGTTGTCAAACACTGAATACCTGTGACATCATCATTGGTGAGACCGTCGTGATCTGGTACACCTTATTGCAACTGTGAGTCTGTTCCTTTTTGGGATTTTTATATATCATTGCCTTATTTTTTATTTTTTCTAAACATTGTGATTTTTTTTCGTGTTTTTTCTTGGATATATATATATTTTCCCCTCGTTCATTATCGTACTTCATATTTCATCATGACTGAACAGACACCTAAAGTACTCAAGCTTAAGACCTTGTCCCCACCTTCGTTTCAACTGATGCCTTTCTGGCCCGACAACATCGAAGCCTGGTTTTGCTACGCAGAAGCCGACTTCTCCGAGCACGGCGTGATCGACACACGTGCACAATTCCTCGCAGTAGTCAAGGCACTACCGCGCGAATTCAACAGGTACGTAACACCTAGTATGTTTACTAGTGATGTTTCCGAACCTTACGAAATCTTAAAACGCTCGATTCTTAAACGAGGAGACCTAACCGATCGACAAAGGTTAGATCAACTCTTCAATAACATCGACCTGCAACACGGTTCTGCGACAGACATGTTGCAACGGATGAGAGAGGTTATAGGCCCAAGAACTTTCGACGAAGGTCTATTCAAACAACTCTTCTTGTCAAAACTTCCCCAACAGGTGCAAGCAGTTCTGGTCTCGTTCCAGAACAACGCCTTAGACGAGCTAGCTGCATCTGCCGACCGCATTCTAGAAATTACGAAACCTACTACCGAGGTATTTTCAGTCAAAGAAAAGCCTCAAACGACTCAGAATGATATAACCGACTTATGTCACACACTCACGCGTTATCTTAGTCTTCGTACCGACCGTAAGAGATCGCGCACACCACGTAGAAGCATTTCTCGTAAGCGATCTGTCTCTAGACCACGAGAGACAGATAACCCCGACTGGTGCTGGTATCATAACCAGTATGGAAAGTTTTCCAGAAATTGCAGAAAACCCTGCAATTTTCCCAACACGAAACCGACTGATTCGAAAAACAATTCGGGAAACTTCCAAGCCGGCACGCGTTAACGGCAACCGTAGCCGGCGAACAAGCCGTCTGTTATACGTCACAGATGTGACAACGAGAGTTCGCTACCTCGTCGACACTGGCGCAGAAGTTAGCGTTCTCCCAGCAAATCCTAACGACCGACTTCACGAATCGACTCTAAACTTACAGGCGGCAAACGGAAAACCGATCGCTACGTATGGCAAAAGGTACGTTTACCTTAACGTGGGTTTACGCAAACCCATCCACTGGATTTTCGTGGTTGCAGATGTTTCTATGCCAATCATTGGTATGGACCTTCTACAACACCACAATCTGATCATCGACACTCGCAAACGGAGGCTAGTAGACGGAAACACTAATTTGTCCGTTTGCGTAACTTCTTTTACTGGTTGTAGAGTATCCCCAGTCACAGTTAAGCATATGATAGACCCACTCTATCAACCACTACTCGATAAGTACCCTGGGATACAACAAACTCAACCGAAACTACCGTGTGTAACCAGCAATGTTACACATCACATCACGACTACAGGACCACCTGTATTTTCTAAAGCACGACGACTAGCTCCTGAAAAGCTAAGGTTAGCGAAAAACGAATTCGATCACATGATGGACTTAGGAATCATACGACCGTCAAGTAGCCCATATGCATCTCCGTTGCACATGGTCCCTAAAAAGGACAGCAACGATTGGCGTCCAACTGGTGACTATCGGCGATTGAACGCGAAAACCATTCCCGATCGTTACCCGTTGCCTCACATTCACGATTTGACAGCTACCTTGAAAGGTACAACTGTCTTTTCGAAAATCGACTTGGTTAAAGCGTATAACCAAATCCCTATGGCTACTGACGACATACCGAAAACAGCTATCATAACTCCCTTCGGACTCTATGAATTTTTGCGAATGCCTTTCGGTCTAAGGAATGCTGCTCAAACATTCCAAAGATTCATAGACGACGTTTTTCGAGGTCTCAACTTCGTACACGCGTATGTTGACGACTGTCTAATCGCAAGTCCGGACAGAGAAACACATCTCAAGCATCTGGATCTTGTTTTCGAACGATTAAAAAAATGCATTACTGTAAACGTTCAGAAATGCCAATTCGGAACCGACTCATTAGACTTTCTGGGACACACTATCGATGCTCAAGGTATCCGACCCCTTAGAACCAAAGTGGCGGCCATTCTGGATTACCCAGAACCGACCACCGTCAAGCAATTACGCACGTTTAACGGCCTGGTAAGTTTCTATAGACGTTTCATACCCAAATGCGCATTACTTATGAAACCTCTGACCGACCAACTTCGTGGAAATGCGAAATCCATTAATTTGGACGACACCGCACGAAAAGCATTCTCCACAGTTAAGGAACTGATCGCTAAAGCAACAATGCTCGCACATCAGGACACCGAAGCACCCATTAGTATCGCAGTAGACGCATCCGACTCGGCAATCGGAGGAGTCTTACAACAATGGGTTAACAACTCCTGGCAACCCTTGGCATTTTTCTCTAGAAGGTTGCTAGACACCGAATCGAGGTACAGCACATTCGGTAGGGAACTCCTAGCTATGTATTGTGCTGTACGGCATTTCCAACACTATATCGAAGGCCGTGAATTCACTCTTTTCACGGACCATAAACCGCTCACTTTCTCGTTAAGCTCTCCTTCTGACAAGTACTCTCCCCGTGAGTCTCGACAACTGGACTACATTTCGCAGTTTACTTCAGATATTCAACACATCTCTGGAGCAAACAATGTAGTTGCAGACGCCTTATCTCGCATAACTTCCTTGAACAGTTTCCAAGGAATCGACCTTCTTAAACTCGCCGAGCTTCAAAAAGAAGACACTGATCTTCAGCACGAGTTATCGTCCACAACACTTAAACTACGCATCAAACAGATGGGAACAGGTAAGGAAACCTTACTTTGTGACACATCTACAGGTAGGGATCGCCCAATCGTGCCGAAACATTATCGACGCAATGTCTTCAACACATTGCACAAACTTTCTCATCCAGGTGTTCGTGCAACCATCAAGCTTATAGCAGAACGATTTTGCTGGCCTGGCATGAATAAAGACGTGAGGGAGTGGGCACGCTCCTGTGTAAGCTGCCAAAAATCTAAGGTTATCAGACACAATAAATGTCCCTTAGGCTCGTTTAAAACTCCCGATGCTCGTTTCGACCATGTTCATCTGGATTTGGTAGGACCTTTACCAGATTCAAATGGATACTCTTACCTCTTAACCTGCGTAGACCGTTTCACTCGATGGCCAGAAGCAGTACCTATCAAGGACATCACTGCTGAAACAGTGGCCCGCACCTTCGTCGAACGATGGGTAGCAAACTTCGGCTGCCCTTCAACCATCACTACAGACCGCGGACGTCAGTTTGAATCTGATCTTTTCCGTCGTCTGACCACACTTTTAGGAATCACTCGCTTCCGAACGACCGCCTACCACCCACAAGCAAACGGGTTGGTAGAACGTTTTCACCGACAACTAAAAGCTTCACTATCAGCTGCAAACGTTTCACAGTGGACCGACGCTCTTCCACTCGTCTTACTAGGTATCCGCAATGCAGTGAAAGCTGACATTGGATACACTGCGGCTCAACTCGTTTATGGAACGACACTTCGACTTCCAGGAGAATTCGTGGATCCTTCGTGCTCTTCGATGAACATGGATCTAACCTCCTACACGAACAGGCTTACAAACGCAATGCGTTCAGTTAAACCTGCTTCCACTCGACCTCAATCAACTGATGTTTTCGTTCAACCTGACTTACGATATAGTACACACGTTTTCGTTCGTCGAGACTCGCATCGACGACCATTCGAATCAGCATACGAAGGACCTTTCAAAGTTCTTCAACGTGAATCTAAGTACTATATAGTCGATAAGAACGGAACAAACGATAGCATCAGCATCGATCGCTTAAAAGCAGCGTATTTAGAAGGAAATCCTATTCACGTCGATTTTCCTTCGGTACAATCGAACGACACGACTCCACTCATAATTCCTCAACCGACAACCAACACTGGCGATGATACTCCGAATGTATCTGAAAATAAACTTAAAACGACGCGTTCTGGAAGAAGAGTTAGATTTCCAGAACATTTAAACGACTACTGCACGTAAGACACTACTCGACATTTTATATTATCTCGATTTTTCTTTTGACAATATATAATATTAAAAAAAAAATTTTAATATGCCTATATGTTTATATTTTTATTTTAAAAAAAATTATTTTTTAACGCTATTACGTGTGCTTGAGTTTATTTTCCATTTTTTCGCCGACATTGTGTTTTTACGCACATACGAGTGTATTTCGACATGCACTTACATTTCTTTTTTCTTTTCCAGGACGGCTGGAAAAGAACGATGCAGTTTACGAGGAGTCGAAATTTTCGTTGTACATTTTCTTTTTTTACTATGTTGTACCTCGGTCCCATATAGTAAGGAAAGACGACCAGACGCTGCTACACTTA